TGGGGTACAGGCCAGAGGTGCAGGAGTGGTGAGAGGATTCACCAGAGACAGAGTGGGGAGCAGAACAGGCAGATCGAGGAAGTACACTGCTGAGTGGAATGGCAGGTGAGACAGGAGAGGTCTGCCTCACCTTGTGGGTCACCTCTGGGGCTGGGAATTGAACTCACACTGAGGCCGCTATGGCTAGCTTTCAGTGCTGCGTCCTAACCCACTGCGCCACCAGAGAAGGCCCAAGGCACACACTTAACTAAGGAGAGATACATTTGGAGGTCCAGGGTGAGCCAGGTGGGCTAGGTCTCCAATAAAGCGAGCAGGGTACAGAACTATGCTCCTCTCCTCTAGTCCTTTGGGACTTGAGCTGATTCTGGGCAGCAACACTGAAAGGGAGGTCCAGAATCTACAGATACAAGTTCAGAACGCTGAAAATGAGGTCTATCAGGAGTAGAAAGATGAACCACCTACATACACCTCTTTCACACATTAATGGACTCCTCCCCTGCCTCTCCCACCTCCTGTCTCAGTAACTGTACTTCAGATCTTCACAATCTATGACATGCTGAAACACCAAGCCAACAAAAGCTTAAAATCAAGTCAAAGAGTGCCATCTTCTGGGGAAATGTTACACCTGACCCTGCTGCAGGGGCAGGGGTACAGTGTGCTTCTGGTTCCACTGGGGCCTGCCCTGAACACAATACAGGTTGGATCTGGGCAAGCACTGGGGTTTTCATCTTGTATCAGTTCATAAATGGACCAGTCAAGTTTAAGTTTGACCAGCTATCAGTCATGGACTTGAGCTCCCATGTAGATTGAAAAGTCAACAAATTGGTGCTTAATGACACTAGTAAACGCTTGAGGTTAAAAAAAAAAAGGGGGGGGGGACCCAAAAGAGAATAAAAGACAGAAAAGGCTTCAGCTTGATTCATGCAACAGATGGTCTCGGAAGAGAGAATAAGGATTCAACAGATGGCCTTCAAAGAAGATGCAATGAGTCAAAGATCTCCATGAGATTCAGACAGCCTCTGCAGACTCCAGGCCCTCTGAAGACAGGAAGACCGGGCAAACTTCCAGACCTCTGTTGACTTTCACAGTGACCTGGCCACTGCACCTGCCTATGGCCCCGCCTCTGACATCATATTCAAGGAGAACCATTGGCTTCAACTGTGTCTCAAAGAGTTGCTGGCTATTGATTCATACCAATAGCACAAAGAGGGCTGCAACACTGGTGTCTGTGACCCTACCTCCTGGTGACTACTGACCAGTGACAGCCACTCTGTGTCTGGACACCTTTGAGAACTTTCCACCTCTTTTCTCTAGCACCACCTCCCACTTCTGTTGCCTCCCTTGCTGTCTGGCCTGGCACCCAGAGCTGCCCAGCAACAGATTGTTGCTGTGGCTGCTGCAGTGCCATCTCAGCAGCCCCAGATGTGAGAACTCCAGCTGCCACCATAAGGTGGATCCTGGCCCACTGCTTCTCTCTGTTCCAGGCCCTCATGGATGGACAGCACTATCTTCCATGAGAGGCCCTTGGAATTACTGGAAACTGTGGACACTCTCTGGGGTGAGACAGCTCGTCACTTATGGTCTTAGAAACGCTTTTGTTTTCCTAAGTTCCTTTGTACTAAATAAAGCCCATTATAAATAGTTGTACCATAAGCCTGAGTGGACTTTCAATGGTCAACATGCAGGTGAGATCCTACAGAGAGTGACCTGTCCCCCACCTACACACTGTCCTTTGGCACTGATTTAGTTCTGCTTAAACACTGTTCTTAGTACCATTTTTTCTGCTCATTGTACACAGCACCATTAATCTCACTGCTCAAGTGCATGTATGATTTTATCTTTTTTTATTGACTTTCAAAAGGAGTGTTCTCATTTGAGTTTCAAATCTTCCTCTGTTAACAGTTAATTTATTATTTTTCTAATAGATTGCCCAACTGAGGAAAGAATTTGCTTAGAAGCAAAATGTCCCTCTGTTTCTAAAAGGAATCCATTTCCCCTTTGTTTGTTATAGAAAGCAAAAGCTACCCCAGCCAGGTACCTTAACTGGATCAGCTTCATCTCCACTGTGTGAGGATGGAGAAGTGGATCCGGAACTAATGTAAAACTTGCTCTTCAGATTCTGCTCAAGTATGTACTCAACTGAATCATTCTAGAAAAGTAAGTTAGAGAATATAAGAATTCAAAAGATCAGTTGTAGGGAATTCACATTTCCTAGATTAAGTCATAAACACTACAATATTTCAAAAATGGGTTTAGTTACATTTCAACATAAAGGACTTAGCACACTGCTTCACCGTGGGCAGAGGCAATGCCAGGGAGCTCCCCTTTGGCATACCCTGAGCATACATACAAGTGTCCACTCCAGGTGGATGGATGTGCCATGACCTCAAAAGAAATTCAGCAGTGCCAGGCCTCCCTGGTGGCACAAGGGGTTAAGTCTCAGCACTAGGAAGCAATTTGCGGCCACCATAGCACAAGTTCCATCCCTGGCCAGGGAGGTGACCCACATGGCACAGAAGACCTCTCCTGTCTCACCTACTACTCCTGTCAGTAGATCTGCTTGTTTTCAGCAGATTTACCTGTTCTGCTCTTCACCCTGTCTCTGGTTAATCCCCTCACTCTCCCTGCACCTCCAGCCTATATCCCAGGTCTTGTGTGCCTAAATAAATAAATCTTTTTAAGAAGGCAATAGAATCCTCCCATTCAGAGTGATTAAACTAGAAACTAAGACTCCTTATCCTGAGATAAGATTTCAGAATATATTACCCCAAAATGTGTCCCTTTGTATACTGATTACAACTGACTCCTGAAATAACTGGGAGCTAAAGTTCTGACCCCTTTGTGAAAAATCCACATACAACATATAGGTGACTTCTGAGCCACAGGTTCTACATGCATGAGCACACCAGCCAACATCCATGATTGGTTAACTCCAGGAATAAATAGAGCCTGTGCACAGAAACAAACCTACATCTAGGTTTGCCATTTTGATCTGAGAAGATGCTTGGCATAATTTTTTATTTTCATCTGTTTTCTGCAGCATGTCTTGTTTTTCAGCCTATGATCTGTATTTTGAAAATGTTCCATATGCACTTAAGAAAAAAGCATATTCATTTCTTTGGGGACAGAAATCTCTGTAGATGGCCATTAAATCGATCTGGTCCAACACTTCATTTAGGCTTTTATTTCCTTGTTAATTTTCTGTCCAGATGATCTATCCATTCATGTCAGTGGTGTGATGTAGTCTCTGATAATAATGGTATTTTTGTCAATATGTTGTGTTTCAAGTCTGTTAATGGTTGCTTTGTATAACTAGGTGCCCCTGTGTTCAGTGCATAAATATTAATAATAGTTATATTGTCTTGATGAACTGTTCCCTGGATCATATGTAGTATCCATCTTTGTATCTGATTACCTTTTTTTTGCAAAAATCTAATTTATTAGGTATGGGAATAGCAGTTACTGCCTTTCTCTTTTCATTATCTGCTTAAAGCACCTGCTTCAACCTTCCAGCTTAAGTTTATTATTTTCTTTTGTTCTTAAATGTGTGTGTTGCAAACACACAGATAAAACTTTTAACCTAATATTTCATTTTGTGTCTCTTATTTGGTTTATCAGATCATTTGTATTTGGTTGATTATTGATATATGGTGCTTATCTACTGTCATTCTGGTTTTGTTGTATCTTTTTCCATTTGTTTCTCTCTGTTGTTTGATTTAGATGACTTTCCCTAGGATGCCTTTGTCTTAGTTTCCCTTTTGTTTCCTTTTCTGTGTGCCTCCACTCTAGATTTTTAGTTAGTGATTACCAATGAGGGTTACACAAATTTACTACCAAAAACTCTTTATATAAAAAACTTTAGAGCCCTCCCTGGTGGCACCAACTGGCTAAAGCGCTGCACTATGAAGCTACCGCAGCTGCTTCTCCTGTTTAACC